GTTTAAGGAGGGAAAAAAAGTATGATATTGAATTTGTCCACATTTTCAGGTTTGCTTCGAACCATTCAAGCAAAATATTTGCATCCCGAAACTTTTACCCTGCGGTCACAGCTTTTGCCATGATTGTGTTACTGCCTTAAAGTTTAATTCCATTTACATATTCAAATGTCCGATATGTCGTTATTCATTTCCGTTACGATACGATACAAATTTTCCAACCAATTATAGTCTGCTTGGTTAGTATTTCTTTTCTTTCTTTCTTCTCTTCTTTTTTCCCCCTTTTTTGTTTTTGAAATAATTTTAGCATAATTTTGTCAAATTAAATCTTGCAATGAATAGAGTATTTGTTACAATGTTGTAACGAGTAAATTTTCAGCAGAATACAGTTCTTAAAATTAAACTTTGACCTAAAGAAGAAGTCTTTTTCCGGTTTTCTGATTTTTATCGACGAATCCTTATTGGATTTAATAGTAAATCATATAAATTCGATTTCCCATTAGGAAATGGAATCCTGAATGATTCATCTTATCGTTGTTTCCATTCCAAAAGATCTCTACTTAAACTTTTTAACTATTTTAATTTTAAATATAAAACGAAGAAGTTAGGAAAGTTTATTGAAGACGGAGCTAACTAACTTAATAGTAAAAGCTTGCAATAACAACTGCCGCACTTGACTGATGTATTTCGAATATTGAGATGTAAAAATTTGACGGCAATTAAATTCAATACAGTTAAATTTAATGAAATATTATACAAATGAGTTTAACAAGATTAAATCTGTTTCATTAAGTGCCGAATAACTCACTCTAGCAAATGTTTATTAACTAAATTAAATTTTGTATTTTCAAACTCTTCAATGATATGAACTTTTTTCCACAATTCCATCAATGATGTACGCCAAATCACATTGTTATGATTGATTACTGTAATTAATCAGACTTTATTAATGTTGCCTTCGTTGTTGACGAGCAATAGAGAGATTAATAGAAGTGAGATCACATTCCTTTCTTATCATTTTGTTTGTTAGTATTAATTATAATAATTGTTATAATTATTAAAACAGACTGTATATTTGAAATTTAACAAGCGAAACTATCAAAATTTAGAAAATTTAAATCTTTTTATGCTGAAATTTTATGCATTCGTTAGATTCATATGCTTCTAATGGAATACATCATTTTTGTTTCAACATTAATATTAAAGTATTTTTCACATTTTTTTTTTTTGATTTTAAAAACTGACCCAAAATTTCCTGTTTTGTATTTTTCTATTAAAGCAGTAATCATCGTTTCTTGAATCATACCAGTTATGCCTAATTTTCAACCTTTTTTTCCATTCCTTCAGAAAAAAAAAACAGTGAATTAATCTGATCTATAAGTTATCTACAAAGCTATCATTTATTCTAATCCGTAACTTCTAATACCAGTTGATCTCATCTGATCTTTGACTTACAGAACACATAATTTAATCCAATTGTTGTTCCTCGGAATCACTATTGTTGTCTGTCATCCAAAGAAACAATGAAATCTGATCGGAGAGATACAAATAAATGAACATGATAAATCAAAGAAATGGAATGACAAAAAAAGAAAATGTCTTCTATTGATTCTTTCGCCAATATTGATTTAAATTTTTTTGGAACAATAGGCTGTGGGAGCAAACGATAGAAGAAATGATTGTACGCCGTGACTTGTGGATTTGAACCATTCATTTTAAATTTTCACTACCCTTTTCATTCCACATCCATAAGATTTCATTCATCGGTACAATGGTTCGGCAGGAAGATCGGCAACAACCAGGAAAAGTATTACGAGGGAGAGGAAGAAGAAAACATTCATTGAAATTCAAACTATCCTTATCAATTTGCTCCTTTCTCCCAGGTTAATTTCTTTTTTTCTTCCTCCAACTTTTCATTTCTATCATTTTTATTTTATGCTTCTTCTGTTTTTTCGTCAATTCTTTTTTTGTTTAAAATTTTGCATATACGTTTTCAATTTATTCCATATCAATTGCAAATATGTTTGTTGGCAATTATTGATCATCATAAAATGAAAAGTCATTGATAAATTTTATTAGAACGACTGAACTGATAAGTGGTAGTTTAAACGGACCAAATGGTTCAGTGTGACAGGAATATCCTAATATCACATAAGAAATTATGCTGCTGTCATGCTGTCTCTTTCACATCGAATATTCCGTGACAGCTCCTCTTTTGGATATTAATGAGACGTAAACTTTACTCTCGCCCTTTTTCCAATCCCTATTGTGATGGATTTCTGAATTATGGATTCTAATTTTCCTCCCTTCTCCTGTTATAAATGCTAACTTTCGTGGAAATGGAGTAATTGATTTAAAAATGAGATAAAAATTGGAAATTCATACAATGATATTGACGAAATAAGGCAATAGTTTGGAAGGAGATTGAAAGATTAGTAATATCTGGAAATGATAACACATATTACTGCTAAGAATTACGATTAAAATAAACAATCTGATAGAAATAGGAATTATCGCTCAGATTATGAATATGTGTTAGGCATATTAAATTCCGTTTTTATAGCGGCGCATAATTTATTTTTATCATTTACATGGACAGCTTCAATTTGTAAAATGTAAATTTTCTCTTTAAACCTTTTTCTTTACAAAATAGATTGTAATACAGAATGCTTGTATAATATTTGAGTCTGTGTTCATGAGCTAATGTGGTATTTGATTTCATCCCTTTAATCATATACTTATTTTGCTGCAATACATATCGAAATTCAATAAATCATATATATTCGAAATAATTTCATCCTTCAAACCAATGCTATTTTCCTTGTTCTTTCAATTATAATTCTGACAGTTGTGCAAATAATGATTTAATCCTTAGAAGATCAGATGAAATTATTGGATATTATAAGTTTACTTTTGTTGTTTTATATAAGATGAAATTTTGTTTGACATAAATTAATTCTATAAAATATTTAGTATTCGACAAAAAAATTCAGCAATAAATTCATAGCTAAATAAACGGAATGTAAATGTCAAATATAAATTAAGTATAAAAATACATTCCTGCAGTATATTATCAAAATACAAGTGACTTTCAATCTGATTTTGTAAATGATTTTTCAAATTTAAATGTACAAATCCATTAATATCACACTAATAATGGTAGATACTGTGTAAAAACTGCTTAAACTGTCCAACTCGATGATTGTAATCCTTTTTCAGATGAATTTTTAGTTTGTTATTTATTCGTTTTTGCTATTGTTGTTTATATTTTCTCATCCAAACATACATTTCAAGTTCGATCGCAGGAAAACAGGTAAATTTGCTGCGTGCTTTACCATTCATTCTTCTCATACTTTGTGTTTTCTCTTCCATTATATTTACATATTTTTTAATTCAAAAACAAATCGAAATATTAAAATTCTCTGAAACAAAAATTTCCTATATTTTCGTGAAATTCAAGCAATCTAAACTGGAATCTGACATCATTTCCTATTGATAATAATAAGTTACTAATATTCGTTGGTCAAAAGGGAGTGACCATTTATCGATTTTAGAACTGACCACTACCCATTGTATCATCCTATTGGAAGCTTATAACAATGACACTCGTGCTGATTCAATAACATTATATGCAAAGAGATGGAAAGGAAAGGAAAGTGAAAAAAGAGAGGAAGAAGGAGAGAGAGGGAGAGACAGAGAGAGAGGAAGAGAGAGAGGAGGTATTGGATTATCGAATTTTAATAGTGTAACTTGTGCTACTTCTCCATCACCTAGAACTGTGCTTAATCTTTGCGCTCTCATCTTTTAATTCATTTTTTAATCATTTTCCTTCTTTTTATCATTTTCACCCTCACTCACTCACTCTCTCTCCCTCCCACTCCTAATTAGTTTATTCTCATTTTAATGATGAATTTCATACAAAAGAATGCTTAATGATAAAAATCACTTCAAGTTATGAATATGAGAAAGATTGCTAATCATTACTACTACGGCAGTACTGCTAATGCTACTACCACACCACTACAATTATTACGGCAGACTACTATTAGGACCATTACTGCAGCAGTGGTGCTAATCTGCTACTATCGCTATGTCGCTGTCAGTTATTACGCCTTAAATTGGCGACACACTAAGGACTGACTGAGTGCTTTAATCATATTCAATAAATAACTGACTTATGTGTGTGTGTGTGTGTGTATGTGTGTGTATGTAATATAATTGAGTACTGCGTGGGTATTGTGTTGATTTTCACAGTGAGTTGTTGCTATTTTAAAATTTGTTTACTTGAAGAGGAGAGTGAAATATCCGAGTAATGTTGCAAATCTCGGTCATATTTGCTATTACAATATATGAAATTTCAACCCTTTCCTTCCTATCCAAATTTCAACATTTAATAAATGTTGCATACATTTTGAATTACTAAATTTTGAATCATTTAAAAATTTATTTTATAAACTTTTATATTAGGAACTGTTTAGTTTATTGTGATGAACTGTTGTTTATGGTTTGGTTGCCCGTCTTATTGTACATAAATATAAAAAGCTAAATTTTTTTTAGCATATAAAGGTCAAATTTAAAGCATATATTAAAGCTTTGCTCGCCCGTTGTTTTATAGACTTTAAAATGATTTCTCAAACTGATCCCAATTTACAAACATTTTTAATGCAAACCAATCGGAAAGTATTGATAATCATATGTTAATTCAATTATAAATTATGAATTAGCTTGACAATGGATATTTTAATCTTTTTGATTGAGCACAAGAAACTTTTGCATATCTTTGATCGAGATGAAACCATATGAAATGCTGATAGTGGACTGATCTGATCATCCGTCTATTCTCATCTCTCTCTGTTACTTTTTAATCTTATCGGAGAAGTGATTTCCATTCCAGCATTTTTTCTTTTTCGATTTCAGCTTAATTAAAGAAAAGGGGAAACTAAATTGCAATGATCAATCATTTTTCGTACAAAGTTTGCATGGAATCTGTGCTGTAAATAATAATGTTGGTGGCATCATTCCATACGCCACCTACCCGTACAGGTATTGTCATACCTCTTTTCAAACTAAAACTTTTTTCAAATAGCTTCCGAATAAAATCCACAGTGATATATTTGCTTAAATGTGACATTTTATCCTAAAATATAATCTTGTCTGGTACTTATTCTCATTTTTCTCCGAGTTTTGACTTCTGCTTTTTTTCTTTGTCACAAATTTATATTCAATCTGTCATTTTATTTTTGAATAAAAGAAACATATTAAATTTTTTTCATTTTTTTTGCAGCATTAAATTTATTTTAATTTTTCCTCGCATATATGTGCTATTTTTTTCAAAGCTTTAATTTTTTTATTAAAAAAATGATTAAAATTATCAACTAAATGCTAGTTTTGTTTCATTTCCAATTTTTTTTTTGATAAATTTATAGAATTTGACGAAGAACATTCATTAATTGAAATCAAGAAAAAAGAAGATTATATGTATTGAAAATTGGTTAAAATCAGATGACTATTTCTAGCTTGAAATTGAATAATTAACTTCTTATTTCATACTTAGACTTTTCTTCTCGAAGCGATAGAATTAGCGATCAATTTCAGATCTTCTTGATTATCTTCAATCTTCGGCTATGGCAAAACAATCAAATGATGTGACATTGCAAAATGACGGCACCTTACCGTCATCTACAAAAGGCAATAAATTTGGGCCTTCAAGGAATTCAAATGGATCGTCACGATTGTCACATTTATTATCGAAGATTTCTCGAAAAGATAAGGTATCAGCTTTTGTATTCTACGAAATTACCATAAAATCTATACTTTTTTTACCATGAAAACTCTGATTAATTATTGCTCGGTTTAGAAAAAAATTGTCAAGCATTTATTTTTATTATTTGTACCATGCAAATATTTAATTTTATTATATAAGCTATGATTTTGATACTGTTATTTTGAAAAATATTAACCAATATTGAACGAAAATTCTCAGCTACACGGAAATGGTTTCAAAGTAAATAATGATTGAACTTTTTACATTATTATAACACTGAAACGGTAATCCCTTAATGCTATTATTCTCTAATAATGAAGAAAAATGACACTGAAGGTTAAAACTGAAAAAAAAAGGATAAACGTGGTATTTTATTATACCAACATTGTTTTTTAAGAAAAGAAATTAGTCGGGATCATATTAAATATTCTAAATCCCAACATTGTTTTCGTGCGAATTTATCAAAAGTTCCGCTTATATTAATTAAAATTATGTTAAATTTAAATAATTATTTAATTCAAAAAATATCGTATAGTACCTGTGTTCTATCATCAATGGTGAATGACAAAAAAGTTATTTTAATAAAATTCAATTTTTGCCATTCGTGGATTGTCATCGGGCTGAGAATAATTCCAGTATTACCATTGATACGTTTTTAGAAAATACCAAATAATTACTATATTCCTGCTGAACCGCCGTTCACCTCAACTCCGGACATGTCGGGAGAAGAAGATGCTGTCGAGGTGTCGTATATCGAGACAGAAAGTGAAAATAATGGCGATTCCGAAGATACCATCCCGGCTGCTGATTCTGCTAACACTAAAAGCTCACTGAGCAGAGTGATTTATGTTGACAGCGCTGTGATGGACGATTCAACTACAACAACAACAGCATCAGCGGACTATAGCAGTAGTTCCGCATTCGGGAATACGAACACTGAGGTCAGTCAGCCTAATTTGGCCTCTCAATCTATGCATAAGTCAAATCCGTTTGTGTCTTGAATTTCCATCACTTATCAGTGAGATATTTTAGGAGTTCAGATATCATCCTACAAAATTGATTAAAATTCATTTCAAATTGGATTATGCATTATATTATAATTTAATGTTCTTTCATCATTTACTGCTCTATTAGAGGGACAAAAAGCAGTAAACAACTAATCTTTGACGAATTTTTCTGTAACCATAAATTATCATATAATATGCTAGTTTAATATCTGTTTATCTGTTATCATTGCCTGTTATCTCTTACATTAGTCATTACAACTCATATTTCATCCAATTTATTTATGTTTTTTTTGTCGACAATTTAATACAAAACCATTTTTATCATATATTATTCTGATCATTCTCAAAATATTAGTACGCAAAATATGATTACTTCGTCACTTTTTCGTCCATTAAAAGTCTTTCAAAATTTCCCATACCTCTCACTTATGTTATTTACGATTGATCGTCATTTGCTAATGTAATTCTAATATTTAATATATTTTCTTGCTATTCTTTTTCTCTTTCAAATACGCATGCATAAATCTGCTGAATAATGTATTTAACGCAAGAATATTTGCTGTTTCGTATTTCAAAATCACTCTTATGTATTTGAAAATTTTTATATATCTGACACATATTTATTGAAGTTATTCGTAAGTAGGAAGTTCTAAATTTTAAACATATTTTTTAGGAACAGATGATAAGGACAAGCATTACTGCTTGCACAACATCGGATCAACAAGTTGTACAACCAATAGCACAAACAAAATTAGCAACAGCCGATGATAATGCAAATTTCAGGAGTTGTTTGAGGAAAATGTGGTATGTATCACAGTACAGTACAATGTCAGATTTTAAACAACTTATCGATCTCCGAAATAGGATTACATTGCGATATTGACCACTTCTAATTAATTCATTCATCCATTAATTCAAGAGTTAGTAGTTAAACGGGAGTGAAAATCATACTTTCTAAATGGTGCGCACCAATCATCGCTAAACATAGATTGAACATTATTTGAATATTTATGAATTAATCTTCTTCCACATAACTTTTTTTGCATTTCTTTTCTTTAGGAATAAGCCATAAAAGTATTTTTATTATCATCATCGTTTATTAGAGGATAAGAGAATGACAAGTTAGAAGTATTGTAGAATGCACTTTTCCCGCGGTACAATATGCCTTCGAGGTTATTCGATGCACTTCAAATTCGTAATTACGAATTTCAACAATATACGAACCTAAAGCTATGACATTCATGTAAATGGAGGAAGTAATTATTGATAAATTTTTATGTTTATAGGTAAATTTTATGCTTATAGGTACGTTATTATTATTAGTATGCAGCTATTCCTGGCCATTTTCGTGCTATTTTGGAGTTTGATCATCCTCAAAATCTTTTATAATGATTTGTATAATATCCGATCAAGGTCATCAATGATGTGCGATATCGCTGAAGTGATTGATGGATGGTTACCGTTAGATCTTTCACAAATGATTAAGTGCAGCGATAATTCCGACACTTTTTTCGAACGATTACATCATGAAGCAGAAGTGTTCGTCACCTTTCTGATAGCACAATTCCGCTTCATCCCGACCATTTGGTCATCCCTAATATGGCCAGCATTTATCCAGTTGTATGAAGAATGGTTACAAAAAACAGTACAAAATGCAAAGGAAAATTTGAATGAGTACTACGAAACCGTTTGGACAAATGTTGTGAGAAAGTATTATATGATTTTGATAAGAATGATTAATTGAAGAGTGGATTCTACGAACTCTATACTTATATTTATATTTACTTTGGAATTGTATGAAAATGCTTTAAACTATTCAGGTTTGAAAATTAATAATGAATTATGACGATCCGGCAACTGTCGACATTTATTATTATACTGACTGTAACATCTTTATGTCGTACTCGTTTTATCCAAAACATATAATGCATTAAATACATTTTGAAATGTGGCAGTTTTGCATGAGATGGATAATCGATGATAATTTCGAAATTATGAGAAGTATGAGAATGTAACTATCATTCTTTTGGGATTTTCAAATTTTGAATTACTCATTTCATATTTGCAAATTAGAGTTTCTATCTTACCTGCCAAAAAAAACGTTCAAAATGATGCATTTACATTCTTCTCTTTGCGATTTACATATTTGAAATGAACTTTCGTTTGCAAATTTTATCATAAACTTTTTAACTTCTCAATTGTTTTCCGCCATTTTCAACAAATTTTCATTACATTTTGAAAAAAAATGAAATTTGAAATTTCCTTATTAATAAATAACCCGTTGTGAAAAGGTCTTTTGTTACTAGAGAAATTTCATTTTAATATTTGCCGTTTATTATTAATCATTAATAAAGGATTCATTAACAAGAAAAGGTATAAACAATAGACATCGTTTCCCATTTCACTCCCACCATCCCTGAAGGTATGGATCCAGCCCTACCTGTATGATCTTAGAATTTAGCTCATTAACTGTGGAACTATTGCAAACTGATACTTTAGTGAAAATACTTATCAAACTCTAATCATATCTCAAACTCTTCCATCTTCCAGTCAGTTGCATGAGACGCCTTCAATGACGAATGAGCCGGAAGATTTTGAAATCCAGTTGTCTGAGCATACATCACTGCTCATTTCCGTTCTCAGATTTATCCTAACAGACTTTTCAATTGTTAATATTAACTTATAAACTGAATCTTCCCTATTTAAAGCGAAGTTGTTCAATAACAAACAGTTAAGCAATTGATAATTCACTGTTTTAGCTCATTTGTTCAGTGCAGACGTTTCCTGAGAAATACAAAGTTATTCTTTCAAATGCTTTTCTTTGGTGAGGGCAATTTATTGAACTTTTTTAGTCAGCGAAATTTTTTTTTCAAACCTGCGATTGAGAAGTTCAACGAATTTGTGTGAGAAAAGATAAGGGATGAATGAAATGGTTTCGCTAACCGTATAATCTTTCGCCCAGGTCGTTTAAATGTGACAGAAGAATCGATATTTGTACAACCAATATTTAACTCGATTTCACTCCCACACTACTTTTAAATCGACACATATCTGTCAATTACACTGATGAAAAAAATGCATCTTAAGGCGGTTTTTCTTTCAAACGAAACACTTTTACGTAAAAATGAAAATTTGTACTAAATTATCAATTGGTCAAAGTTCTTGCAACTTGACTTCTTCAAAAATTCGAAAATCCAAATTTGACAGTTCTTGGAAAACGTCCTTATTTGAGGAGATCTCAAAATAATGTTCCATTTTTGATTTTGATGTTCTTATGTTTTTCAATTATTGAAAAGTCATTGATCAATAACTTTTCCAATCTCAAAAATTCAACTTGTCATTACTAAGTGATAACCTTGATATGTAGTTAGATATTTTATTTCTCCATGCTGCAAATTTCATAGTTAAATTGCTTGGTTTTCCTTCCAACTAATTTTAGCGAAATTCTTCCTCTGATTTCCTTGATCATACAGATATCCAACCGACTTCCTCTGATTTCCTTGGTCATATAAATATACAGTTCAAGTTTGGCTTATCACTTTACTGCCGATATTTTGAAATAATATCAATTAAAAATCGATAAGTTTTAATTTTCAATTTGGTAGTACTTTCTAAATTTTGATAAAAATTTTGAGAAAACGAAAAGAAGGAATGAACAGTTAATTATAAATTTCTCAATATGAAAGAATGGAAGCTTATAGGATTTCTGATTCTGGTTGATGGAAGGTTGAGATGAAGGGTTTCATATTGCATCTGTCTTTGGATGTTGCACATGCTCGTAATTTGTAGTCGAAAACTCTCAGATCAGTAATTAGTTCAAGATGACGTGCGTAATGTTGTGTAGAGTGGGTTGATCGTGTTCTCGATAGAAAAGAAGGATGAAAATCGTCTTTCCACATCAGGCTTTGTACGAGAATTATATTCCACAAAATGAATACGAAATGATGAATTATTTCTTCACTGCGGGACTGCTTTTTTTTGGAGCGTTTTAAGGATATTTTTTGTATGAGAGTTCAGAAGTGAACATTGCATGACATTTGTGCTAACTATTCATATCAACTAAGACTCTACGTGATCGTTTTCATTTATTCAAATCATACAGTTGTTATGGCATATAATACAATAGCAAGGATTGATTCCAAAACGTGATATAATTGAAAGTATGATTGGAAAGCCGGGCAAATGTCCCTCGACCGATTTTTTCCGATAGATTTAATTATCAATATAATTAATTTCCTTGATTAATTTCCTTAGGCAGTTGTATGATACAGTGTGGGTGAAGATGAACGATCAGACGGATTGGAACGAAACGATTCGAATGCGACAAATTGGTATTTTATCCTCTCTTTCGTATTTATTCTCACGTTTCATGCTTGTTGAGAGTTCGGACGTAAGTATTTGAGTACGGGAAGATTTATTTTCCACGCATTAAGATACTTATGATGTGATAAAATTTGCTTATATAAATGAGACATCAATCAGAACAATTATTCCTGTAAGTAAATTGATTGTTTTTAGCTTCTTTGAAACAAATGTTAAACCTCAATCAACCATTGCCAATGTCGATGGCTGTGGAACCGGTCTGGAAAATACTTATTTTGGATCGCTATGGGCAAGATATCATATCTCCGTTGCTAACGATCAAACAGCTGAGGGATTTGGGAATTACTTTGCATTTGTAATTTATTGATTTTTGGTTAATTTGGTCACAAGTAGCATCTATTTATCACTAGGAATATAATTCTGTTCCGATCTTTTTTAAGTTAGCAGCAAATGATTTCACTTTTAATTAATAATAATTTCTGTTTGCGACTTGATTATGTGATAAGTTTTTACAGACTTCTAAACAGCCATCGTGAAATCTTGCCCGACGTACCTGCTGTATATTTCATTTCTCCTACCGATGAAAACGTTGAAATAATTTGCAATGACTTCAACAAAGTAAAAAGATCGCTCAATGTTTTGACATTCAGATTTGAGTGTTACAATAGTATGACTGTTTCTTAGATTGCTAAATAAATTCAGCCTATTATTTGTCAAATGCTAACACTATTTATTAAATAAACGCAGCCTATTATTTGTGGAATATTAACACTATTTATTAAATAAAATCAGCCTATTATTTGTGGAATATTAACACTATTTCTAACAGTATCGGGGGTGGAATAATCTATTAGATTAAAATTTAGACCAAAACTTCATTTCTAGGAATACCGAAAAAGCGTAAACGATCTCTCAGAAACTCAATTTTTACTTTTTTAGTGCAAAGGGACATGAATATTATCGTTTTAGGGAATGTATGATAGCTATTATTTGAATATGATTAGTCCGTTGAGTAGACCGCGCCTTGAGCAATTAGCGTCTGCTGCTGTCCGTGGTGGAACTGTGCAGCATGTTCAGAAGGTTAGATTTTAAAAGATTTTTGAAGAATTTGACTCCAATTTACATAAGTAATCATCGTTGCTATTCATTACTTTCAGCTAATGGATCAGTTTTTGAACTTCATCTCATTGGAGGACGACTTGTTTGTACTGCGAAGATATAGCGAAAACAGTCCCTTCTCATTTTACGGTACTTATTTTTTTATAATTTTAGATCCTTTTTCTATCGGGACCATGCACCTCTTACTTGCTTTTCATTGTTCTTTTGCATAATCATCTAGTAGTTTTTTCCTGCTTTCCTAAGTGATTCTTTGCATATACTAGATTTTTCGCATATATTTCCAGTTCTTGTCAATCTAGAAATTGTCAGTCCTATGATTTCAAGTCAGGTTTCCATTTATGATATTCTCTACATTCATTTTGGCTGAATATAGCTGAATATGTCATTGGTTACTTTCTTTTAGCAATAAGTGATCCTGCAATGACTCCACAACAGATGGAAGTTCTCATTGATACTGTTGTTGACGGTTTGTTTTCGGTATGTGCAACATTGGGTGTAGTGCCTATTATACGTTGTTTGAAGGATAATGCTGCAGAACAAGTTGCCGTGGTAAGTCAGTTCTTTGACTTGGCTTAACGACCTAAACAAATTCGGATGATACTACCTCAGTTTTCCTGATATAAAAAAATGTTCATATAGTTATACAATGCAATTCTTCGCTTTGTCTGTTAACAATAATGAAAATTCACTAAATATAGCCAAACTAAGCATCTAGTTTAATGGTTGGTAATTTACTTCTCTTTTTATGCTCAGCAAAATTTTCGAACACTTAAGAAAGGGAATTTAAAAGTTTTTATGCATAAATAATGCGTAGCAATTCAAAATCTATCCTTCCTTTCTGGATACTAATTTAGTTCTATTGGCTTGTAGCATATGAAGCAATGTTGATGCATTAGGACAGTTTCATTACCTTTCTAGTTTCAGAATATATTGTAATCAAGCGAAAAGTTCATATATTTCACATGAAACAATCTACAAATTGTTACACAAAGTGATATGTCTTTATAGCGTTTAGACCAGAAGTTACGTGATAATTTCCGTGATGCTCGTAACAACTTGTTTGTACAAGACAGTGTTCGCGCTGGACGACTGATTATTCATCGACCTGTTTTAATCATTGCCGATCGTGGCATGGATATAGCAACAATGCTTCGTCATACATGGACTTATCAAGCTCTTATACATGATTTATTAGTAAGTAGTTTGACAAATGGATGAACTGTATAGTAATTTAGACTTTGATTTGTTTGATTATGGTAGATTGTATCAATGTTCAGGTTAGAACAGTGTAAATTTGTAGATGTAGATAATTTAATTCATACTATTCGCTTAAACTGTGAAATATTGGAATTTTTTTTTACAGGATTTGGATTTAAATCGTGTCGTAATTAAAGATAAAACTGGAAGAAGGAAGGAATACGACATGAATTCACGTGACAAGCTGTGGATAGGACATAAAGGAAGTGCTTTTCCATTAGTTGCGGAAGCAATACAGGAAGAAGTTGAAGCCTATAAAAACAGCGAAGATGAGATCAAACGTCTGAAACACGCTATGGTGCGAACTTAATACATACTCTCTTTTATGTTATATATATCTTTTATTTATTAATCATATATTGACATAATTTGTTTGAATTAAGAAGTAGGAAATCATTTACTCATTCAAATTAAATTAAATAGAGAATTATTTGCTTAGTATCCAGGAAAAATCTTTCCATTATATAATCGCTCTTTTCTTAAAAAGAGCGATTATATATTATATATTTTCGATTATATATTTTGCGATTATATATTTTCTTAAGGGAATTTAATTTTAAGTGCTTTCTACATATAGCTCTATATATGATTTTGAATAATTTGAGCAAACTTAGTAAATATTAAGTCCTAGAGAACATAACAATTTAATGGTTTGTATAGTGAGATCGTTTTATAAGAGTCGATGGATTTATTACTATCTAAAAAAAAAAACTTTCACTGAATGGTTGGATAGTCATGGTTTCTAACTAATTTCTTCTAACTAATGTTATTCTAGGGTGTGGATGATGTGGAGTCCGACGAAACCGTAAGTTTATTGAGTGATGCAACAGCTAAATTAACCTCTACAGTTGGCTCACTTCCAGAATTGTTAGAAAAAAAACGCTTAATCGATTTGCATACAACCGTTGCAACTGCAGTCCTAGATGAAATTAAACAAAGGTAGGGGTTTTATATCTTCCTGTTGCAGATTTATTAAACCTATATTTTATGGAGCTGTAAATTTGTGGATGCATTCATTTAATTTGCTTCAGGAAGCTTGATGTCCTTTTTGAGGCCGAAGAAAAAATAATGAACGGATTATTGAGCGGTGCAAGTATTATAGAGCTGATGCGTCAGTCTGGTGTTCACGAAGACACTTTGCGAGTTATGCTGATCAGTTATCTGTGTTCCTCTAATACTTTTCAGGTAACGATTGATTCGATTATTTTGTCGACCAAAAAATGAAATTTGAGTATCCATCGGTCTCCTTTGAAAAACGCTTGCACGGTCTTTCGGTCTTGCAGTTAGAGATCACTAGAAGACGCATTTTTGAGTAATTGAATAATTCTGATAAGTGTTTAATTCTTCGAATTCATTTACAGGATGAAATAAGAGAGCAGGCTGATTATCTGAAAGAAGTTGGCTTGGATGATGCAGCCCTCAAATATGTCAAGCAATTAAGGTGAGTATGGATAAAAATAGCACTTGGAGGTTTACTGATAATAGAATAATGAAACCCTTTTTCCTAAAAAGCGCGAAAAGCGCGTTTTATGTAAATGAATTGTATTCTCTTTAATTATTGAGTTGCAAATTTTGTTTAACTAGAAACGCCGGATAAAAAATACAGTATTTTCGACCTGTATCATTTTTTCATTAAGCATTAGTTATAGTGATTGTGGTTTTATCTTTTTCATCTTGTACTTCCATATAATAGAAAGTACAAGGTAAAAAAGTTAATGTTCAGAATGATTTATTTCTTTATGATTATTACAGGTCAATATCAAATATGAACCTAAATCGTGTAACAAACGATTATTCTGGCGGTGGTATTAAAACTGATAATATGTTTGCAAATTTACTTAATCGTGGCTCACAGTTATTTATGGAAGGAGTGAAGAACCTTGTTCCAAAAAAGCACAATCTTCCGCTGACAAAAGCATGTTTATTTGCTGTATTAACAAATTTTTTTGCTCTTTACAAATTTGATTTGCGAATTGAATTGTTCTAAATGAAGCTAAAGTCCTGTTTGCTTTACCAATCAGCATGTTGAAATCAAATTGAAATTCAAGCCGTTATTTCTTCTTATTTTACATTTTTAGATGGTTGATACAATTCTTACGGGCAGTTTTCAAAGTAATTCACGATGCAATGATGCTGAATTTCGATATTATGATCCGAAATTAATGCATTCCACTGGCAAAGAGTATGTTTCATAAACAATCTATATGATTATTCCATACATTATATTTCGATATTTGTTCTTTTTTTAAAGAATTTTGAAGTTTTAAAGTCTTCAGTTCACTGGATTTTTGAACCATAAAATAAAATCTTAGGCCTCAACGTGCGCGTGGTAATCCGCCACAGGATGTTATAGTTTTTGTTATCGGTGGTGGAAATTATGTAGAATACCAAAATATTGTGGATTATGGTAAATCAAAAGGTCTTGCAAGGATAACATATGGTTGCACGGAATTAGTTAGTCCGAAGCAGTTTGTTGAGCAGGTTTGAATTCAAAAATGTTAATATGAGAAGGTTGCAAAATCAGGGAATTAGAAAGGCCGGAAAACTATTCTTCCCAGTAAGAAGACTTTGAAATCGGAAGTTGTCTTCATAAGGAACAATTCATAATACACGAATTCCTTTTTCTGTTGTGAAACCAACTTTAATATGCTATATTTAAGTCATAAATATAGTTGTCATAAATCAAAGTATTGTCATAAAATCACTTTAACTGTATAACTGAAGCAGATTTGTTTGTTTGGTAAAGTTCTCATTGATCATATTTTTAGAGCTGTGGCTAGTTTATGAAAGTTTAGCGTAGAAATATCTCAAGATTCTAAAATTGTTCATTTTCAGTTGACCCGTCTTGGCCGAGAAATGTCATAACAAAAATAAAAACGATCACAAGTTGCAGCATACAACACCATCTTATTTTTAAAACTCGCCATAGTATGACACGCAGATTTTTTATTCTGTCATTTAAATCTGACATTATTAACTTGTTGTATTTTCAAATTTCTGTTATTCTTTAAGATGATGCAAAGGCCTGAGGAATTGCAGCTAATTTAAATAGCGGCAAAATTTCTCGAAATTTTAATCTCTGCTCAATTTTGCCTAGTTGAAGTCTTGGTACTGCAAATTCTGATACCTATTCTAACCTTTTAGAATATGTTAATGAACGCTTCGCAAATATTGTTTCACTTTGTTAACTTTCAGTGCAACTTCGATACATAGTAAGGGAAGATGGTGCTTTGATAGCAATATAAAAGTAAAAACAAAAGTATTTGTTTGAATATATCATTTGATCTGTGCGAGCGTAGCAAATGATAATGCATACAACATATTATTCAAACAGTATTCAAAAATATTTAAAAAATGAGCTGAAAAGTTAGAAACATAGAAACGCTGCTGAGGTGAAACGAAAGTAATAGGAATTATTCAAAGTAATGATGTTGAAATATGAGAAAAGCTTCATCTGACTATATTCAACTATTCAGTTCTGTTTAATGAAGTGTTACGACTACGTAGCCGAGATAAGTTACTAACGACTAGCTAATATATAAAAAAGAGCGATTGTATTATATCAATTTCTTCCCACATTTTTCAAAATTAATTTGAAGCTACTATATTTCCTTTAAGGCAAAAGTGATAAGCAAGAATAATGTCAAGAAAAGAATAAAACAGAATACGTTGAATCGAGCTCATTGACAAGCGGGAGAGCCGGTTCGGAGGATGATAACCTTGCTTTATTGAACCGTATGGAAAACCATGAATGCCTGAAATCAGTACATAGCATTTTTTCTTCATTCTTGCAGTTAGTCGTGGAAAAGATTGCTATGAAATAAAAAGAATATAGTGAACCATATACAGGATCCATTCGGAATTAATCTTGTTTATTAATGAGAAAACTGGCATCATTGAAAAATTAAACCCCAATTTATAACATTAGGCCTTGAGCCTCACATCTCAAAGCTCACTCGTCAAATCCCATTCCTGACCCAACTGTCTCTCAACACATAGTCACCTTGATTTGTGTGGAAATATTTTTTGCAGCCAATCTGATACAAATATCAGCGGAAGCATGTATGAATTAGAGAAGACGGAGTAAGTATAGGACCTAACTGTTCACAATGTGTGTGATAGTTCGTGCAAATATTCATTTTAAAACAAAATCGGAAATGTGACAAAAAATCGAAAGGTGAAGAAAATAAGATGCAATATCTGCAAATTTGAAGTTGAAAAGAAGGCAAACGAAAATGTGAAGTATTAAATCAAATTGCGGAGAGTGCAACGGTTCCATTTCTTATGCAGAATGTCCCTTTTTCGTCCTCCTGCTCTATCTACTACCATTAAATAAATGGAGAAAATTTCCAGTACTTCAAAAGAGAAATGAAATGTTGACTCCATTTAATGAACAGTTTAAATATCCAAATTCCATTCATTGTTAATCCTGCTTTTTTATTTCATTCTTTATTCTCCTTTCAATTTATTTCCCTACGTTTGAAAAAATATTGTCTTTTATGGTTTTCGATGAGAAAATTCATTACAGTGACTCATAATGTTTAACTATAAAAATATAAAAATATATTTCTGTAAAATCGGGCAGTTAAACTTATTCAGGAATATTAGTGCTTATTTACGGCTCATTATCTTTTTTCAATCCAAACTTTCACTTCCCGGATATCAAATTATACATTTGACTTTTTCTTAGATTTTCCAGATGAAAAGATTTCGAGTCCAAAAAATTAGACAAAAACAGCGATGTAAGGTGCTAAAGTGAATTATTTAACATTATAACACATAAAATCAAAACAGCTCAAAAAAACTAGATACTATGAAAATACGAAATCACAATTTCACAAAATTAATTTTACCCGCCACTAATTACAATCATCCAAAAAAGATAAGCCATTTTTTTTGCTTGATTTTAACTTTTATACGAAAATTTAGAGTTTGATCTAAACAGAACCAAATTAAAATAGACAAAATAGACGGTGAGTAAACTGTACGACCAAATGATTGATATACAGATCTAATTTAAATTCCAAAAAATTGGGAAAAAATTAGACTAATTTATTTCCTTCTTTACTCTGGTAAGTAAATCTAGCTTAGACTTAGCATTAAACTACTCTAAACATACATGCATTTACAGTAATTAAGTGAAAGTGCCCCAATGATATATATCGGAAAAGATTTCTGATCACATATTCATATGTTTGAAGTGAATACCATTGTTAAGTATTCTTCATATCCGATAGTAATTATACCATCACGATCAGTATCTTTATCACGAAATGCTGCCGTCAACGTTTGCAGAACAACGCATAACTGGATAAAATCATCGAAATTTACACGATGGGTATGTGTCCTGTCAAACTTCATCATTAAGAGATCAATAAATCGATCACTTAATCGATAACCTAAAAATATAAAGCAAAATTAATAAAAAAGATCTGTATGTAATACTTATGTATATATTACGCCAATTCCACTTTCTTTTTTGATTCTAGACAGATAATTTTCCATTCATTCTTTTAACATTTTCAGTGGAAAAAAAGATATCTAAATAATGAAAAAACAGATCAACATGAAGAAAAATTTTGTATTACAAATACATAACAGTATGTGAGAAAGAGAAATAACCGAATTTAGAAAGTGCCATTGACAGCTCTCGTTTATCAATATTGCCAGAACCATCTACGTCAAAAGAACGAAAACATTGTGTCCACTGATTGATATAATCCCATAAGGCAGAAAATTCATTGAAATTGATAGCACCATCCCGATCAGAATCAAACATGCCTATAAATCTTTCAATTTAATAACTTTTCACGGTAACTATAGCTATCCATCTTTCATACTGATTTTAAAAATTTTTTTTATGCGGAATGGAAATAAAAGTTGGATCTTTTTTTGATAAATCTGACAAGCCTTCTGAGATATCTTTGTAAATTAAGTAATAAGTCTCTCGACTACAAGTGAATTGTCTTCTCAGAGTTCTCAAATCCGAGTAAAAATCCTCAAAACTACTATTAAGAAAGGATGCTGAAACATCTCTAATACAAATCATGAAAACAATTACTTATCATTAACCGGCAAGTTTCAGGATTGAACGGATTCCAGGTACCATTTGACAATGCCCGTTGTAATTCATCCACACTAATTCTACCAGAACGATCGATATCTACACTGGCAAAAATATTTTGCAATGATAGATTTGGTAACGCCATTACGAGCTATCTGTTTTGTCTGGAAAACTAATAAAAAACGCATTACTCTGAACCAACAACTGTGAGAAAAACAGGGGAAACCAAAACACAATTCTGCGGAATATAAAAGAGAGAAACTCATTTCACATAACAGAACAAATCTATATAACTAATAAGAACCATTTGAGGAAATTATTAAAGAAAATCAGGAGGAATTCGGCTAATGCTCAAATAGTAACTAAACTTTTTTTTAAAAAAACTTGAAAAATAACAATTCGGAACAATGAAATAAAGCTTACGGTGATAGTTAATCTTAAAATATCCGAAAATGGAAATATTCGAAAGTCGGAAGATTCAATATAAACTGCAATGCCGAAAGGTCTTACAGATCTCTTATGATTTCTTTATTTTACTGACATTAATTTTCTGCCAAATAACACTACTGTTAGCTTGACGAGCTGCAAGAAAGTTATTTCAAAAAATGACTGTAAGAACGATTTATTAATAAGCAATCAAACTATAACAAGATTATCGTATTTGCACTGTATGATATATGTAGTTGATGATATTTAGTACGAATTGAAATTTAAAATTTTAAAAGAAAAAATTTCAGAATTAAATTTCAAACAATAAAAGATTTTCATGAATAACAGCAAATAATATGATGTCATAAGAAAAGACAAACAGAGAACATCTTTTTCCCAACTGATGACAGTGAACCAATCAATAAGAGTGCCGCAGTACAACAGACAGACAACAATTCTGCGACTCATGCATATCCATTGGACATAAATAGCGATTTTTACAACGCTAATCGATTAGTCCATCAATCAACTCTAATCTGATCCATTAACTGTACCAAACGAAGATATTAAACAACCCAAGACTTATGTTAAATTAAGCCTAGAGTTCAACAGCGATTAACTAATCCAGATTTTCAGCACGAATCAAATCCTACGTCATTTAAACATTTTGGTAAATTTAACAAAAATTCATTAGATCATTAATACTGATTGCACTTTTTTTTCTATTACGTTCTTACTCAGCCATCGTTTAGATAAGATAATTCATATTTCTGATGCATCAGATAGAGACTAATTGATTGTTGCATTATGTGAAAATGTATCGAGAATGAATGTATTATATAATGGTTGTTCATAAAACATTTCTTTGGAAGTATGTTTTTCAAACATAGTATTATCAGCTTCAATTATCCATTCCAAATAGAAATAACCAACAAAAATGATCAGAACAAAAACTGCATTTTTACGAATATCAAAAAATTTGCAGAACAGTGCTACGAAAATGATATTCAACAAAGAAATATAACATGATGTCATCAACTACGAAGTAAAGTTATCAGTATAGGCTATGGAATTGAATAGTCTTACCATTTTTTGCAATCTAAGTTAATTAACAGAAAGAAAAGGGAAAACAAGGGAAAATGTCACTTTAATTCGGCAGTTCCTGCCCAAGGGAAGTTCCCCTGCAACGTGAATTTTAGTTCTTCGGGCTGATTTTTGATTTTCGATCAATCGTCTCAATCAAGTTTTTCTTTTTCAAGTGCAATCTCGTCCCACCTCAATATTCTCAGTAAGACAATATAGTTACTCGGACTTAAACAAAAAATTTCTGACTAAAAATTAAACAGCTATGTAAAATAAAACGAAAATAAACTTGGAGACATCGGGAAGCAATAATAGAACAAGTCAACTTACTCGCTGAATAAGAATAGAATCAATGTTGAATTCTTACCAATACTCGCTATTTTCGCCTATAGGCATATCATTTCATCAAGAATATTGTAATAGAAATAATTTATGAAACATATATTCAAAGATATTATTCTTTTCTTCCCAATAAATAAGTCTCTTTAGCCTTGAGCATCGATTCAGCTACTAATTTCTGTCGTCCAACAGCCATCCTAACCATATGTTGCATCGTGGTTTCATCACCGCACATACCTAACTGATTTATGCGATGGATTCGAGCATTATTTCCAACTACTATCATTACTATATTAGGAGCTACCCGAAACAATTCAGATATTGGGTCACAAAGAATTTTCACCTGCAAAACAAATCCATTAGTAGCGCATATAATCACTTGATAAATTGCTATATAATTTGAGACGTTAAGCCTTATTCTATATTTCAGTACGTGAAATACATGTGACTTATGGTCGAGTGACATGTTTTTTATCTGAAGTTATGGATAGAACTCTCAAAAGATATAGTCATTCCGACTTATACACTTGTACGACTTATACAAATCAACAAATTTCAAATTTGGAAAATTAAAACTATACGTCTGATGACAAGAAATTTTTTGATCACTAATATCATTAGCAAGTTACAACCAAATGTTGATTAATCTTTGATTATAGCAGACCAAAAGACTTTGTGTTGACCACCGAGAACTCCTTAAGTCTCCCATGGACCCCATTTAATTTATTTTTACTTCTTTTTAATGACCATTGCCTCTTAATAAGTGGCAATAGTGAAGTTTCTGAGATGTATAAACTCTATAGCAGCAAAATTTAATATTTTCATAGTGTTTGAAGAGATTACAAAAAAGTTTTCAGAAAAACTGACAAATTAAGGAAAGCCTTCAACTATATATCTGAGAAATGATTCGCTAATAAAAAGCATTTAGTATATTATCAAAAAAAAAATATTTCGCATGATGACAATAGTGGATAAAATTACTTACCTCTTCATTTGGTGGTTTATAAACAATAAACGTCGATGAAACCGGAATATCCGCAACTTCTATGTGATGAAATGTCTCACTAAGTTTAACTTTGTTGATATCGATAGGAATATCTTCCTCGCAATCAGTAAAAACATCAGGAAGCCGTAAATCAACCAATGCTCCGGCTATACATGTACATAGAGCATCACATATAGCTCCATCAACATTTAAAATCTAGGGAACAGTTTTTAATTCTAACAATTTTTTTGTTATACTGTAAATCTTTTAGTTATTTTCTTTTTTTTACACATGGACCTTATATTACACATTGTGTTAGACTGAAGCATGCAAGCGGTATAAACTTGTTTTATGCTTGAATTTTATAAAATCCATTCTGTTTCAACCAGTTCAACACGAGTAGCTCACTTATCGACTATGATACTATGGTCGTATTTTTGACTTAAATGAATGCAATAATTTTCTTAAACCGTACTAAGCAGAAGAATAAAGATATAAAACTACAAAAGAATTACCATGATATGCAAATTAAGAAGCCATGTTAGTCGTCCATCGGCCGTTTTCAGTGTATCTCTCGTACAGAAGGCGTTTTGTGCCACGAGCTGATTGACCATAACCATTGCATCTTCGACCAAATTCTACGAAAGAAATCTCCCAATTATCAGACTGCATAAACGAAGACATACCATAAAACTGTTCAAATTTTAACCCAAATTAATTCTCCTGATCTTGAAGACTACAACAAAACGAGGCTTACTTTCGCTATATTTGGAGCAGCCTGTATAATAGGCACAATAACTGCAGCATCGGAAACGGGTGCCAACAGTGCTTCAATATTACATGTGATAGTTGCACCACCTTGTCGAGCAAAACTGGAACCTGCCGATTTTCCATTAACACCCATCTGAATGCTATGAAACATACAAAACAGGCACCAAATCTCAACTTCCTACGTCCCGTCCATCGCTCTCTATTAACTTCTTAGTTTTGAATTTATAAAAAGGGAAGAAATTTTGGAATGCTAGAAGACTGTATCGAAGCGTATTTCCGTTCTGGAATGATGTACACCCTAATTTTACACAGAAATAAGGAACAACCAAAATCTAACCCGTAGCAATATTGACCGAAAGCAACTGATTGACCGACCACCTGGATAAATGGATTCTGACAGGAACTGATTATAATAAGCCGTCGGATCGCACAGTTTCAATAGATCAGCTGTCATTGCTAAATATGCGCTTTTCATTTTCAGTTAATGAACTAATAACTGAACCTCACGGATAAGCCCAAGGAAATATTCGCATGAATTAAATATTATTCAGATTATTTATAATCTCGCTAAATGAGATTTTATTTTCATATTAACATAGACAAACATATGAATAATGAAAGGTTCAAACAATCTGCACAACAAAGCACTCTGCTAAAATTTTAACCTAGTAACATGAAATAATAATTCAGCACAGTCTAACATCATCTCACATTTCTCAATCCAATAATATCACAGTTTTACGAGAAATAACACAATCACAGTACAGAACTTATTTAACATATTTAGCATTATACAATAAATTGATACTTGTACAATAAATTGATACTTGTTACTCACTAAAGAATTCTTTAGCTCATAAAAGCATTGCAAAATTTTTTTCTTAAGCAATTCTTACACTATGACGAAGCAAGAAACTGACTCAAATTTCCATTCAGCAGAAAAAACCAAGCAGATCCCAAAAATTGATAGAAACCTATTCTCCCTTTCGTTACACAAAATTAAATCTAAGAAAAAATCAACCAGAAGAGTTTTTTTAACTAAAAATTCACTCGTGTGCAGCTAAATAATGTTACGTCAAATCCTACTGCTATTAGCAAAAATGGAAATATTCGAACCAAAGTTTATATAATAAACTTTGGAAGCCAGCAATAACCTCACTCGTTTCTTTCAATCAAGATTCGTTTCCACAACTTTTACGAAAATAAATCTTGAAAGATTGCTTTTATAAAATGGGTTTGTGGCTTCTCAGGGATTTTACCGACGTAGTTAAATCTCCCTCAAAAGTCTAAGTTTTGTATTTAATTTGTATCGTCACTAATGGCTGTTACAACAAGGCTGTTTGAGCGTCCATCAACCAATCTTGAAGCACGACGTCTTTCATCTTGTATGTTAGTTCCTGGTACATCACCACCAAACAAAGCGGGTGAAGTACACTGTGGCTGGAAACAAATCCAACATTAAATTCCACAGAAAAATCTTTAAAAAAAAATTCCTCACTAATAATATAGTTGTTCTGATAAATTCAAATTTTTTAATTTGGTATTTCAGTCAATACTCAACGTACCGAAACCGAAGCGCTGTGAGACGAATAGCTAAATGGTGGAAGCTGCAGCTGCGATGTAGAAAGGCCACGTGGTGGTGAGCAACTTCCGCCCTCACCACCGCATCGGATGCAAACGTGTCGTTCTTCAAAGAGTAAAACATTCATTGCTTCTTCATAAATTCTAGCTTCTGGGAATTCGACTTTGGTCTGCTTTTTATCAGTCGCATATACTATTGATGTACAGCAAATCTGTAATTTATCGCAGATGGATAAGCAAAAAGCCACCGTATTTTAAACAATGGTAACCAGATTATGAAAGATAAATGATTATATCCACAGCACATGAAATGATTCAGAACCAGCAAGAATGATGGCCGAAAAAGTCAGTCGAAAAGAGTGAAGCGATAATGCGTGAACATCAATGGGAACACAAATATTCTGGGCAAAATAAATTTATTAGGTAGTGAAATCCGATCTGGAAGAAAAAAACTGATCCCAATGTAACAAAAAAAATTTCTCCAGCTTACTTCAGCCTTTTTTCTGCCTAGTCCAAAGAATGTCCACTGGCACACTTCTGCATTTTCTGCACCTATATCTGCAAAACAAATGATCAATTCTCAAGCATAATCATAATTTAATTTAACAAATAAACATATGAAAGAATTTACCTTTTACAAAGAGGACGCGGTCATTAAACCGCGTAACAAGTCGATCAAACAATTCTAAATTCTTCATTAAATTATCATCCGATTGAGAAGTATACGAATATTTGTTGTTATGCCGATTAATTAGAAGCTTTATAACGGGCTGCAAGCAGAAATTTATGCAAGATGACTACTTTGCAACATGCTGAACAGAAAATGATCAATTAAGCTTCCAGCTGCTCAACTTTCTTAAAATGCAGTCTAAAGAAGTGAATGGACTTCATTTAATCTCTTTCGCTAGGTTACATTTCAAAAAAAGTACATATACAAGAGGACTATTCGGTCATTTCACTGCACCATATTCATTGATATGCCGGACATATATGTGCTTTCTCATGAATTAGAAATCATTTTTTAAATCCATCCATTAGGTGATCTAAATACCTTTTTTTGGCTAAACAAATGACATAGGCAGTTTTTCGATGCTGTATGGAACTTTCAAGCAGCATATTTTGGTTGGTTAGCAGGTTATTTAATTGTTGAGATTCTCATGTCTTATAAGGCATTCAAATGGCAAATTAAGCAAACAAAGCACTCAGATGGCAAATTATGCAGAAAACACAAGGAAAGGTGACTACTGAAGTATTTTATTGATTCACAAAAGCAACAAAAACAGTACCTTTGTAGTACTTGTAACAATACGGTCACAATCCTTTTTGGTATTAACAAGTGGAACTTTACAGATACCGGCAGGTTCGACGTCTTCTTTTGTTATCACTTTTAACCAGTTTTGACACAGTTGTACTAAATCCTACAAATAATTGCATCGCAAATCAAAAAAATCCAGATCCTAAAAATCTTCTAAATGTAATAAGCAGATGACAAAAGCTTAATCTTGCCTGAATAAGATAATATTTCGCTTCAGCCAATATTTCAGCTGTTTCAACGCGACACTCTGGTAATGGAACATAGCCATCTCTCAAAAAATTTAAAATCGTACCAAAGTGCTTTCCATTGCGATCAATTAGTACCCAACCATCATTATCAGTTAGAACCTGAAATATCGACGCCACTCAGATTATGTAATCAATTTATCATCCAATGCAGTACAGTTCTGGTTAGCATAAAAACAAAAAAAACAATGAAAAATATTTTTATGCAAAATTTGCTTATATGTTTATGGAAATTTAACAGACAAATACAAGTAATAAAAGTTGAAAAGAATTAAAAATAGCTGATATTAGTCATTCTACCAAAGTAGACACCAAATACGAAAAACAAACCTCCATTCGGCCGGAAAACATAGCACGAAGCATGGAGTCATGTTTGGCTAAAGTGGAGACTGTTGTTTGATACAATGCACCGCCGACATTCAATTTGATATATTGAGACGGTGATCCGGCTAATCCTAATAGTCGTCCATTAACTCCATCCAAATCAGCTGCTTCGTCACCCATTGAATCAGCTATCGTAATTCCCTGAATCAGGCACATTCAACATAATGGCTCCACAGCGACAAACCCCTGTGGCAATAGTTCCGTAAGATCGAGGTTATTTGATAATGCTCCAGAGAAACAATGACGTCATTGTTACTTCATGTCTCACTGGAAATCCCCACCGAAAAATCCATCCCGTACCACAGCTTATCCATCCTTTGGACGCGTTTGACTCCTTGTGAAAATCCCTTGTCTCCACCAATCATGGCTCCAACCATTTGTACCTGTTGACTGTAACACAATCATTTTGGAAAATAGGAACCATTAAGAATGTTAACTGTTTAACAGTCTCCAAATCGTTTTTTATTCTATTTCCTGAGAATGTTAGATTTGCTGTACCATTACTAAAAGGTAAAATTGCTAGTCGGCTTCTTAGAATTTCACTAATACTCATAAAGTTAAACATTTCATACAACTTGCGTTCACAATACATGGACATCCCTCTCACCTATCGTTCCTCTCCCACTATCTCGTAACATTTACATCTGTCGCAATGCTCATCAGGTGCTTTTCGAAATATGTAATTTATAATTTTTTGGGATTATTTCATTTACAATCCCTTATAAATATGTTGCTTAATTAGTCTCATTAATCTTTATAACATTTGTACCTTTTGTTTATTAGGAAACAATAAACATGAATGCATTAAAAATGAAGATTAATGAGACTAATTAAGCAGCATACTATAAACGATTATAAATGAATAACGCCATAAGTAGAATGTTAATTCTTTGTAACAGTTAAATCTGAGAAACAAATGGAACCATACATTGACTGAAACGATTTATTATAGTCTCTGAATTCTAATTCTTAATTTCCAAATTCTTAATCCAAATTCTAAAAAAAAATTCTTAATTTTCATTTTACATAAAATGGTAATAAAGATTACACGCTACTAATTAATCACTAATAAATCAGTACATAAACACACGATAATGTTAATATTATCCCATTATTAAAATTAATTAATAACAGGATAATACTAATAAATTTTGCTTTTTTGCAGTGCAGTCGTTTAAATTGAATGGAAAATCTTTGAAATTAGGGATTGTTTTAACTTCGAAATTACTTTAACTAATTATGAAACATTATCTACTTCTGAAACTAATCAATTGAGTTTCACAAGTAGATAATTAACTGTATGCTCGAGAATGGCACTGTTCTAGAACCAATTAATGGTTGAATGTTTGTGAAGCGTAAGTTGAAACGAATTCATATTATTATTGCTGTCACATCTGTAATTTTGACAATAAGGAGTTGATCTCGTAATGAAGGTATTTATCGGGGATGTTAGTCTTCTTGGAAAAAACAATTTTGGTGGAACAATCACGGTCGCAGCATTTTTGTTTACATCTGATGGGGTAAACGAATAATTATGCGCATTTTAATTTTGCGTCAAATCAAAAAGGTCGTAAGCGCTTGGATAAATAAGCAAAATGTTCGATTTTTAATTATAAAATAAGCACTTTGAAAAAATTTTATTTTAAACTGTTAGACAAGCAGAAGTCTGAGAATTCTTTATTACTATCAAATAATTATGTACAAATTATAAACAAAACCATGGATCAGCATAGTTAGCCTGCTGATCAGTTTAACCAAACGGTTTGATGGTTGACGTCGCAAGTATTTTCTGCGAATATCAGTTTTGCAATTCGTCATTATGCACCATGTTTTGATAAATCATACATAATATTGCGACGATTCATTTTATACATAATGATGTCGTGCCGTGATGCGATCTACAAAATTTTCATCACCATTCGAATCACGTCGATGTCCGACTGGAGTTGTAAACGACACGACTAAAAAAGTTGCGACATGTTACAAATCTTGAAATGCTCAAACTTAACAATCTCCTCTGGAGTCCGATTCGGTTATTCAATGCTGTATGTTTACAGCTAAATGATCGTGTAATTGATTCTCGCAACATTTGCATATTGCTTAATTCCTTTACTTATAAACCAAGTAAAAAAGTGATTGATCACCTTTCGGTTTTTCTGATTCTGAAGTCGCAATAAATGATTCCTCCAAATTCAGTGGGAGAGTTTCCAATTTTGATTGCCTATAAAGCTTGACGATTTTAAAATTATTAAAGAATATTTTTTAAGCAACAATTCATTTCTGCAAGCATCCATTTACTAAGCCATGTCGAGTAAATAGAATTTTCCAAAAACTTCAAAATTAATGTTTTCATTACTAATCTTTTCGGATTTTAAATTTTCTAAAATGTTTTTTTTATTTTAAAAAATTAAGCAGTTAACATAAATCGGATAGATTTGATCACAGAAATGAATTAAACGGAACAATCTAACATTCGACATGCAGAATCTTTCTCAATGACCTGATGCGTTGTTACATTCGATATAAGACGTGCTAAACTTTTAACCTTTGTTGTATGGTTTACCTTTTCTCAACATTTGGCGATTTGCGATATTTTGAAAACAGCGGCAAATCATGCAATTCAACAACTGTACGTTTTTCAGAACCTGAAAAACAAAGCATCAAATTTTAGTGTATTTATTTGGCTTCACTATAAATGTTTTTCTTTTTTTCAAAACCAAAAAGAATTTGGCGGAATGGTGGATAAAATTTAATCCTAAACGGATAAAAAAATTTATTTCCTAAAGTTTGAAATGTATTTTATTAGCAAGAAAGAAAATGAATTACAAATTTTAAGCAAACTAAAAGCAATTGACTGCCTTGTCTTTTACCAACACTTTACCGCTTAAAAACTTTTATAACCAGTTTCGAACTACAAATATGTTTGAAATCTTAAGTTATCACTTTTCATTTATAGTTGTTTGATTTGTTTCAAATTTAAATTTATTTACAAATATATGCTTAGCATAAAGAACTTTACAAATTGATTATTTTGTGATAATTCTATCTTTTAAATGCTAGTTGAATTAAAATACTTCATTGAGACTTTACATTAATGGAATTCACTTCTAATGGCATATTTAATTTTTTTTTAAATTCATTTCACATGACGCGATTTATTTTACTCTTTAACTAGTTACTATTAATTAAAACATTGTCAATTAAATGATATACTAACCAATAGAATAACTTTTTGTCGCAGTAGTAGATGAAGACATCATATGTAAACTGTCATCCTCTGTACCTTCAACGATAATCCTTTCAGGTACTGGTTCTAGAAATTCCTTTCCTCAGTTACATTGATTCCCAGATGATTTATTGTGCACTTTGCTAGAGCAACAATAAAGGTTAAAAACTGAATAAAAATAATAGTTTAAAAGTTCGCATAGCACTTATATCATTCTTCCTCAAATCCGATCCTTGTAAATTTTAAAACAAAAAAATTCTTTAACATAATTAAAAAAGGAAGAACATATGTGAATAGCGAGGAAAACCTTTACGATGTACTGAAGAAGTTATTCGATTTAATTTTGTGATTGTTGTAGTTGACAAGCGTCGTGCTTCATTAGCACTCAATCGTGTATTTGAATGACGAAGTCCGACGGTACTTTGTGAACTACCCGAATCACTATGAAGTTCTGTGATTGTTGGTGTATGAGATCGAGCAATTTCTAACAGAAATATTTCAAATGATTTTGGATGATTCGAATTGTTTGATGCTAATACGGATGGATCAATGATTATCAATGTGCAGATGAATTAAAGCTTAAAATTGCAGAGGGATTCACAACAGAAGAAATAGGATGCCGGTCAGAAATTTTCGTATATGTGTATATCGAATGTTAATTAATCGAACACTTAAGAATAAAATGTGAATTATGAAAGTATACCAAAAGTTCTTATCGAAAAGTCTTCCTTCATCATCTGTAATTCTTGTGACAGTTCCGCCAACAAGGATCCATATCCACGAATTTTATTCCCGGATGCACCACCTAACTGTTGCAGGCGTTCCTTGAATTCTGCTTGCCATGCTGCTTCTTGTTCAGTTGAAACTTTCTGTGCTGCCTACAGTTATATGCTCATAAAGGCACCAAAACATATGAAGCAACAAGAAAAAAAAATTATCATTTATGAAATTTTTATATTTATGGGCGAAATTTTTTAATTGATTTTAAAATTAAAGTCCCATTTTTTGAGGCCATTATTAATTTTCAAAGCATTGCAAATAAAAATGATTGGTAGCAAAGAAGTAGAAGAAAAAAAGCTTTAAATGTAAAGATAAGTTATAAAAATCTAAACAAAAAACCTGCTTTTGAAAGGTATACGTTTGGAAAACATAATTTCAAATCTAAGTGATAGGTTTAAATTTGATTTTTTGTAAATTACTGATATTAGCATTACTGACATAACTGAGATTTGTTAAGACTTAAAGTCATGGAACCTTGACACATTACCAATTAATTTACAAAGACAATTAAAGTACTTTGCTTTGAAGGAATGGCAAAATGATCAATGATATCGGCAAGTTGATATCGACTATAAAATCAATAAATGAATACAATGCGGTGCCACCAATCTTTTTGCCAACCAAATCACGGATGACTTTAAATACCCGTGGCCATAATATTGTCATCTGCTTCTCGAATGCTACTATCATCACTTTGAGAGCTACAATAAAAATGAATTTAATTTGCAGAAAAAAATTTGATACATTTGGAATGCTTTCAGAAAAGTGATAAAGTTGTCAAAATTCATTCAGAAAAAATTTTATTTTAATTGCAACAAAAAGATACCCAGAAATATAGCTTGGCAAACTGTTTCACGAATGATACGGTGCGTTGTTACGGTTGCAGAATGGCCACGTTCTGTTACGGATACGGAACCCTGACGTCCGGAAACATCTATAATCACTGAACCTATAGGAGAAAAACTTTTAATACAGCATCATTTGCAACTGTTACTACTTTCTTTTGTTTCAAAGATCCTGATTGTTAAAATGAAAATTGAAAAATTTTAAACTTTCATAAATTTCAACTTAAAAAAACGAATGATTTTTTTGATAAATTTCAACCTAAAATAAAAAAACGAAAACTGATTTAAAAAGCATTTATATAGCTAGTAAAGGTTCATAATTAGTACCGGTGCACTTGCGTTATTTTCCAAATAATTAGACTAAGATTTACCATGAGCATTGGATCCTCGCATTAAAGTAGACGCTAAATTTGAACTCATTAACGGTGCAACACTTTGCCGTGCTAATGGAGGATTAATAGCATTTTGCATCAAATTCAAGCAAAATATCAAATCTTTCGTTTGAAACTGCGGTTTATCTGAAATACAAATAATCGTCCAACAAGCATAAAATAAAGCAAAAATTTGTTTTCCCCTCAAAAATCACTTACTGTTACACGTTTTAATGCTCTAAAGCAGGTGTAAATCATTGGTGTAATTTGTTATTAAGTTAATCAGATGTGAGATATTTCCGTTGCATGCGCATAATGTATAATTGTTCAATTTATGCTACTTAATTCGAAATTTTAATTCAATCCATCCATCTAGATGACTGCCAGCATTTTCATAATGCTGTCGAATGATTGAAGCGTTGAATATAAATTTATTTTGGAAAAATATTTAAATAAAATTTAAAAATTAGAACAATAAACGAAATTTGAAAATTAGAGTGATAAATGAAAGGAAACCATTCTTGACAGTTGCAGCCCGAAGAAATAATGGTATTAAGATATGACACAGTACAACCTCCAAACGTTCAGCTGTAGGTCCAATTCCTTCGTTACTGCATAAATATTCCAATGAAAATGCTGCCTAAACAAATTATTAATAAAAATTATAAGAAAACGGTAAAATTATTATGAATTGAAAAATTTTTTGAAAAAAAAAATAACATGTACAAACTTTATACCTGACCAAGTGCTTGCATCATGAAAGAAGCAAGTTTAAGGACTGCATTACAGAATGACTGTGGTGGAGAAGTACCATGTAATACGGTAGAAAAAGCAGTATTGGACTGAGTAAAAAGATCATCATTTAACGGATCACCGATCATTATTCGTAAACACATCAATGTTGTCGACTGAAAATTATAAAAGGAAGGAAACAAATTGTATTAAATCAAACGTCCAAATGTCTATTTATGTATTTATTTTTTTCTAATCATTTTTAAAATGTGATTTGAATTTTATTATTGAATAAAAATTTGACGGGAAAGAATTTTTCCTAATTTAATTGAAACAATAAAATAAATAGATACCTTTAAGGGATGTGAATGAGCAATATAAGGATGGGCAACAAGCGTTTGATGTAAACCATTAAGCCAATTTGTCAATGCAGTCCAATTCGTTCGACGTCGAAAAACGATTTTCTTGCCAATCTTTTGAATTGTCTTATCCAAACGTCGCAAAACAAAATTTAACGTCGGTCGATTGCTCTCCACCGACCAATCAGTTATTAGCAGAATGACATCGAAATATCTATTCAGTTTTAAAATCGTTATTTTTAAAAGAAAGTAACTTTATTATCCAAACTTTACAAATTTTAATCTTATTTGCAAAAATTGTATAAATGGTTCAATAAAAGACAGGAAAACAAAGAACATAAGAATTACTTCTGCAATCCAAGACATGCTATTGTGTTAAGGTCGTATGGTGCAATTTTCAATAATGCAAGAGCAATTTCATTCAATTTCTGGAAGAAAAAAGACAAATTTCAAATTTATAAAGTTATTTATTTTTGATATATCTTCAATTCTTAGAATTATTGAAATTTTAATACCTAAGAAATACCTAAGAAAGATCAAAAATATAACCCTGACTTAAATAAAAATTTTCATTTTCTAAAACAATGTCTTTTATCCTTTATATTTTTTCTTGCGAATTTAATCAGATGCTTATCAATTTTCTACAATATTGACGCGGGAATATAATTTTTCAGGAAACAAAAATATAACGCAAATGATTTAAGCAAACTTATTCAAATAAGTTTGCTTAGTAATTTATCTTACATATAAAAGCCTGGAATAAAAACTCGAATAACCAATCGAGGTTTTTATTCGAAACTTCTGTATTTCAATCTACCCACCACATAGCATTTATAATCGAATAATTCCGGAATTTTGATATGTTCGATATTCGATGCCAATTTGGTAAGTTCCTTCAGTCGTGATTTTGCTTTCTCGATAAACGTAGCAGCTAGCACGAGAAGAGCATCACGTGGACGGCGAAATATTTCACGTTGTCCCTCAGAATTATCCATGGCATCCGGGCCAACAACATTTTTCTTTTCCTTCACAGTTCTATAACTTTGATTTTTTGGATTGATATGAATATAAATTAAAGACTTTTGTCTTTTTTTGAAATTTTCATTAACAAAATTTATTGAAAATTTTTCTTTTCTTTTGCTGAAAACCTTCGACAATTGAGATTATCAAATTCGACATGTCAACTTATATTTAATTCAGCTTTTAGTCAAATATCGGTAGCATTATTCTGCTAGAAAATGATAGTTATTTTGGATGTAAATTGCATTTGAACCATACTTAATTGAAAATTTTTCGAATCGTCTGATTTGTTCAACGATTCATTTTGATTGTTTTCAGTTATTTAGCTGAGGAAAAAAGAAAACTTAAAGGGAAAAAATCTACGAGTAATGCATTTTCGTTTCATCTTCCATCAAAGTTGGTGGATCAAAGAATTGAGGCGAATCTGCAATTAATGACTTCCCTCGATCACTGACACTATTGACAATATCGAACGTTCGCGTCGGTCCTCTAAATAACTACTGATTAATGAATATTTATCAAAAACGATTAAACACGAATATTATTTCACTTATTTAAATTATTTCTGCAAAAATAAGCAAAATGAACCTAGCAAGAATATCACAGCAATTCACTAATGCTTTTATTTCTACGCAAAGTGTTGTATAGATAGATATTTCATGTTTTACAGCCACCATGCTGTTGCCCTGTTTCACTGTATCCTGTTCTATCTGTTCCAAAAAATACGGTATCGTTGCTTGCATCACTAACTACAATGAAATAATAAGACAGAATAGTTTCATTAAGATATATGTGAATTAATCAAAAGTTCAAGCGAAATTTATTTATTAATAACATATATTAACATAATTGTAAATGTACGACTTTTTTGTATGATTGTAAATGACCAAGCACAAAATTTCGCTATGTTTTTTATTTTCCTGTAAAATAATATACGGTAATAACTGAAAAAATTTTGAAACAAATAGCCATTATCAATAATATCAGGAGAAGACCATGAAAGTAAACATTACCAACATCTGGTAACAACGTCGTGATTCAGGCGCAAAAGCGCATACCGTTACGGCGCTTGCCAACGCATCTGTTAATAAGCTAAATGTATTGGGATCGTCACGGTAACATAGATCTAACGCCTACAATTGATAAAAATGTTATTAAGTATTTTTAAGAATTGATTGAAATATTCAAAACATTGTCATAACATTTAAGTGGATCATGACTACCGTCTCAAATAAACTAATTATGCAAAGTTTACATTAAAGCCTGAAACAGATCGGCTTCTATTGTCGAAATGTTAAATTATGATTAATTTTGTTATTATTTACATAAACCATTTACTGGAAAGACTGACTTAATTTGAAATGCTTAAATAATTGCATTGTTTGGTTATTCTGCATACATGATTAATGATCAAAAAGAGTGCAGCTCGATGATATGAAAAAATTGATTAAAAGTTAAATGTGCAATAACTATTTGAAAAGCTAGCAAATATATTCCTTAACCTCAAAAAATTTAAAATTTACTCAGAAAATAAAGCTTTAAATAAAAAAAAAGTTATATAAAATTAATATTAAAAAAATTCAATTATCAACAAACTTTTAATGGTTTTGTCTCATTGACTAAACCTAATATATCAATTGGATCTTCCATCTCACTCATATTTTCCATGCTATGCAACAAATTAAACCAATATTTCGCCTTCACCTATAAATAAATTTTTAAATGAATTTCGAAAATGAAAAGAAACATTTAGAAAATTCATTTTCATATCAATCGGTGAAGAAAGAAAAGATATGAGAATGAAATAGAAGAACACCTTCATCGGATTCACTTCAAAATTGTTATCAGTAGTATCGAGAATATTTGCCACTGCACCAGCCATTTGCAATAAGAAAGGCTTTCGATGAAGGATGTAAAATTGTTTGCAAACATATTCAATCGTACGACAAAGTAATGGATTAGTTTGCCTTTGACTGTAACAACGTAATATTGTTGGCATTATGAGGAAAAATCCCTGAAAGAAATAATAAAGTGAATGATAAGTAAAATAGATTTTTCTGTCATTTTATAAATTTTTTATTTTTTGATTAGAAGAAATAAAAATATAACGATAACAATGTTTATAAATAATACAGATGGAATATTTCTGGAATCATTTCGATAACGATCACTCCTTTTGTCCTCTCTCTTCCTTTTCCTTCTCTCTCTCTCCTAATGTTACTGAAGGTATTTCAGACCTCACAAGTAAGTATTCTTAAATTGGATTTCATAGCTCTTGCTTGCTATGTAAATTGAAAATTTCTCAAAAAGAAGAAAAAGAAAAAGGTGGAAAGATAATGTCCATAAAAGTATGATTCACACGAGCTATTACTGCTTTTAATAAGAGATTTTTTTTCAATTTTTAAAAAAATTTACCTGATTAGTGAAGAGAGTACTGAAATGTATAGCCATGGATAGGTATGTGGCCATACACCGGCGCAAAATTGTTACATTTTCACAATGTAATAAGGTCACACCATTGATAACATTGATAAACAGATGTAAATCACCGAACATGAAGGCATTTTCCATCTTTGCGAACATATCGGACATTAACTTCAAAGTGAATTCATTTTTAAAATTTATGAAGATTTTTGAGTTGTCAACTTTCAAATTCTAAACTTAAACTTTATCAAATCATAAAACCAAAATTTGGAACTTCAAATGTTGATATCTTCCCCAGAGAAATATCGTCTTAGCTATGAAATAAATGTGTAATTAACATTCATAAAATGCTTAAAATTCTTAAAATTTATAAAACTTTTCTAGGACTTTGCGTTTTACAATAAAACTATTTTTGCAAAATGCTTCCTTTGTGAGGAAAATTTCTGAAATGAAAACAAAATGTAAAAGTTCACCAAAGTCCACACAAATTTATGTGTACTATCAATGGAATACAATTCACGACCTAATGGGCCATTGTACATGCCAAAACATGTTTCCAAACTTTTCCGTGGAAACGATGGTAAATGTGTAAATTCATCATGTAGGAAAAATATTCGTTGTGGTATCTGAAAAAATGTTAGCTTAATCAATTCTATTCCCTGTCATATTTAACATGATGTATATAATTCATTAATTAAATTTTTCATATTAAAAATTTTTTCGAAATTGAAAAAATTCAATGAAATTTTGGAACTTAAAAAAAGAAAGGAATAAAGAAAAGATATCCATTTACCACATTTTCAGGGCTATGAGAAAGAGCATTATATGTTAGCAATATTTTTCCCATTTCTAGAAGTTTATGCGTAAACGCTATTTGGCGCATCCGAAGATGCACTTCGTCAGGATTCAACTTAACCAATGTCAACTGCGGATAGAGCGAACGATGAAAAAAATAAAAATCCCTAAAGAATAGACAAGATTATCAAATATCAACTATTTAAAGTGGCATTGATATTTTGGAAAGATAAAGTAATATTTCTTTTTCTCTCCCAAGCATTCCATTTCAGTCCTTCTCTGGTTCGATAATATGTTGCAGAAATATATTTAGAACTGGTAAAATACAGGAATAATCTAAAAAGTGAACAGTAACCGTGAATTGTTCATCTATTATCTACCAGAACATAAATTCTGTAGAAATCTACATACATCATATCATTATTATGCAATATTATTTAAATTGTGGTACGAAAATTGCATTTGCGCCACTGGAAATATTAGTGGATTACTGATAAAATGGATTATAAGTTTAAAGAAACTAAAAAAAGGATCATTTCAAACTTACCTAACGTAGGACGAAGGATTATGAACTATATTTGTTTTAGTATCAACAAGAAAATAATATTGATTATCGCTTTCAGGGATATTAAAGAATTCGAGGCTATCCTTAAGTAATTGCCGAAATTGCGTATCTTCATGGATCGGAAATTGTGATGGAATTCCACCAGAACTGCTATCAGGTCCATGAATAATAATTTTCTTTGCTGATGGAACATTTGCCGTTATCATTAGCGCCTGCTGAAAATGAACAAATATCAAAAATAAGACGAAAGATTTATTCGTTATATATATGTATCACTATTATTCAATCTTATTAATTTTATTGTTTTTCAAAATTCGCACCTAATTTATTTCTTTCTTTTTTTGCACTAAATAGCACAAAATGAGATAGAAATAAGCAAATTAGAATTACATTTCGAATGTTCATCCTAAACGAATAATACGATGAAGGATAAAAATCGCAACAGTTTTATTAGTTTTGCATCCTTTCATCCATTCACTCATTTATTCACTCATCCATTCATTCATTCATTCGTTCTCTAAATGTATTAGTTCGAATTTTTGAAATGAAACTTAAGTGTTACTTACATCACATTGTTCCTTCTTTAATGTTTGCTTCAGATCTTTAAAATATAATCCATGCACATCTGGAACAATAAGCCATATTATACTTAAAGCCATTGCGATTGCTTGATCACTTCCATCACACGGACTTCGTACATAATGCATTACAAAACCAAACTGTAAATAAAATATTTTTTAAAAACATAATAAAATAATTATATGTACAATTACTTGGATAATATTTGACACAGTTTACGCTTCAAGAATTATTCAAAGAAATACATTTTATGTCGAAAAGAGAAAAGCTTTAAAATTAGATTAGGATAAAATTATTGCTTCAAATTCTAAAATGCCATAAATATAAATTGACAAAACTTACAAAATAATTCATTAATGTATAAGCAGTTTGACATGGCAAAGGTTGAAAACGTAATATCAGTTTTCGTAAAAGCAATATTAAATGTTCCTGAAAAGTAATGTTTGCACTGTTTGAAATATCACCTGCTAGTATTAAAACAATAATGAAAAAAACGGCATGCATTTTTATAAGAAAGCAATTGTATCAAAATTGAGATTTTGTAATAAAAAACAAATGTTTAATCAAATTCTTTCACGATTTCTTGCTAACATAGACAAATTTTATTAACAGACATTTGCTTTACTTAGAATTTGCACGGATATTTCCTGTTTATAATGTCTTAAAGTTTTTTCATCGTTATTATGTAAAGATTCGAATATTCATTGCCTTTTGACAATGCCTCAGTTTTCGTATTGCATCGAAAATTTTTAGCGTCTCATCAAAATTTTTTAATGCTAATATTTAACTGACTTTTCTTCACAATTCACTTGGCTCATTAAGAGAATGCATATTTAGTAGAATAGTTAAATTACAACTGAAATATTTCGATGGAGTCATCGATAAAGCACAATAAATCCGATTCACGTTAAGCAAACTATGCAACAAAATAAATGCTTGGAGAAGCTTCTAAATGTCAAAATTTGTTGACGATATTTTAATATTTTTTAAATCCGTCAAAATTCATAAAATCCAACATGCAAATATGAGGACGAATAGTTCATGCAGCAATTTGGTGCAGTAAAATATTGCTCACCCAATGAACAATTGTATGAAACTCAACGTTTGCTGACTAAACATTTTGATAAATTCTACTGTATCACATAGACATGTGATATGATGAGATTAGATAAAGGATGATAACATAAAAAACTGCAAGTATTTGCTTAGACAATAAAAATCTTTTCTAGGACAATGAACTCGAACTAAACATAGTTTAAAAAATCTTGACAAAATGATTAGATAAAGAAAGTCATCGATGATCTCCAAAGATATAAACCCTTCTCAGAAGCCTGATCTTCTATCAAGTGTTGTAATGAGAATTCATATTTTTATAAATGATCAATCTTTCTTGCCATTCTCGATGATATATCAATAAATTGGCCGAATATTAGTCGAATTATTTTAAAACCATCTTCTTTTCATTCTTTGACAATTATAAACTAATTCTAAACAAAAATAAACCAGAGAAAGTGTCAGAAAATGAAGAAATGTGTATTTTTTTCTTGTTTAAATAGATAGAATGAGACAATAAGCTTGCCTGACGTTCACGATTGGTTAATTTTTCTAAAAAATGACGCAAGAACAAGGCTGGATCTTCTACAATACATGACCAAATAATTTTCTTCACAGTATCACACACTGAAATTGTATTAAAATTTTAAAAAGAAAAAAGTAGTTGCAAAAATTTGAATATGAAGCCATATACTCCTTCATAGCTGGTTTCATTAAGTATCTTAACTGTTCTACAGTAAATTATAATTGTTCATTATTTCTCTGACAACAGCTATGGAAATGCAAATTAAGCTACGGAGGAATAAATTACCAGATTTTCCAGAACTGTCCAATTGTACATCATCGAGCATTTCGATGATCGTTGGTACTACTGAAAGTAGCGATGACGGAAAAAGTGGTTGTGCAACTGGCATTTGTTGTCGAGTAGAGCTTGGATGAACATCACATTCTGAAACATATCACTTGAATTTTGACCTAAGAAAATTGAAAATCGAAAAAAAAAGATAAAATTACTAATACAATGTTAAAATAAATCAATAAGTGAGAATTTTTTTGACAAGAATTCTTAAATTAATTGGCAAGTTTTTTTTTTAAAGTGATATAGATTAATTTTTCGTTTAATTTTTTTTCAAATTTTGTATGCTTCAAGAAAATAGTTTAATTTTCCAAATTTCTTGTTTTAAGTTGTTCATTTTCCTGCTTTCCTTTTTCTAAAACAAAAAGATGAAACTGAAGAACAAACCTTCGCCAGTATTATCAGCCAAAGTTTGTTGTGTTTGATGATGGAACAAAGCTGGCTCGTAAGCTGCTTGTTGCACAATAGCTGTGGCACGAAATGAAAATTTCTGACGTAAAGAACTTTCTCGCTCATTTGCTTCATGTACCGCACGACGTACCATTTCTTGCTTCTGTTTTCGACGTGTCCGTGTCATCGTCATTATTGTTTGACTCTCAAGTTTTAATCTTTTTTTCGTTGTTAAATTTAAAATGAAAAAAATCTTTTTCTTTATCTTCAAAATTAAGAAAAATGATAAATAGAATGAATTACCTCTGTTCGTTTCATAATGAAATAAGAAAGTAGAAGCTAAGAGGCGGTTTAATTATCTTAAGTATTAAATAAGGGCTATGATTGTTTTAACCGATTAATTACTCATTACTTACCGTTGCTTGTTCTTCTTCTTTCAGGCATAGCTCCTCAACTTTGGTCTTTACATGAGGCATCCACGGTGGATCGACGATCGATACATGGCTTTGGCCAACAGAAGGAGAGGGTAATGTGAAGTCAATGCCTGGTGGTGGAACCTGGAAGTTATGAAATAAAAGCAAATTTGTGGATAAATATATCATTAACATATGGTATGAAGTTGGAAACATTAAAAAAAGATGGAATTCTGAAAATTAATAGACTTTAAAGACAAGTTGTGCTCCATCTTCCATTTTCAACCAAACATGAAAACGATTCCGCCACAAAGCATGGAAACGTCGTAATCCTTCCGTACGTATGCTTGGATCGTCATTTAGCAAACTATTCCTTATCACATTGACAGTTCCCTCTGGACTTCGTACCGATGATACAATGAAAAGACATGCTGAAATCGAATTTCAACATTTCAAGATAGACACAAAATAATAATGCTTAAATTCTAGTTGATAATATTAAATTTGTTAAGTTTGAAGTTTTAAAATTAAAACTGTTTTAAAGATTCCAAATTTTTAAGGTTAAAAAAGTATCGGAATTTTTGTTCCAATTTCATATTATATTTAATTAATTTTAAATATTGCAAAGAGGAAAGTGAACCAGCTGAAGTGACAATATGTTTGTCACGATGTATGAGTAAATGCCAGCAAATATCCATTATTTCTCGATAATGTTCATTGCGTAATACAAGACAGCTCTTAAGAAGAGTTGAAAAAGGCGAATGAATTATGCATAACATCTGGGTGGCAATATAGGACAGCATTGGAGAAGGCGGTGGATGTCCTTTCGCCTGGCTTGCTTCATTCAGATTATCCGATTCCTGCAAAAATTTCAATATTGTCATCGATCAATTTAGACGAAATCATACAAATTCTACAAAATTTCAATGTTGAATCATTGAAAACATACCAATAAGTTATAAATTTAAGATAATAAAATAAACAAATATATTCAAAGAACAAATTAGACCTGCATCAATTGTACACTTTCTATTGTTGCTGTATTTTTTTTTGAATATAAAAAGAGAAAAAGAATACAAAAGGATAGAAAGGAAAGAAAAAGACAGGGAAGTAATAAGTGGTATGAAAGATCAATTAAGGCTAAATATTCTCAGATATATTTGTAATGAAAAAAGAAGGAAAGGAAAGAAATACTTGAAAATTATTCTTTCCCATTCGTCCTTCTCTATTTTCCTCCATTTCGGTAAGCTGTTCAATAAGCAAACTTCGCAGTGCCATTGGTGGCTTATCACGCATTGCACCTTGCCGAACAGCAGCATTTTCTCGACGAACTCTGAATAATCCGGAAGGCCGCTGTGTTCCCTGCAAACACTGAAAAATAACGAGGATTCATCTAGCTGCTTAAACCTACGATGATAATAATAGCCAAAGCATTATTTAAATATTATAACTAAATTTATTTTATTCAATGCTGAAACTAATCCAATTTTATTGATTTCTTAAAGTAATATGCTTAAACAGTACCATAACTAGACTAAAACTCGTTTTACAAATTATCTAATATCTTATCATAGATTAAAAAATTGTTATTAAGTTAATTGGATATCTCTCAAAAACAGTGTGCATTAAGCATTTTACCAACGAACGCCAACAATAAATGTCCCACACTTTTTTCACATTTTCATGACGATTGATCCATGCATCTGTCATCGCTTTACGCTTATCGAGATATCCGAGAAGCGGTAAATCTTCACCATATACTTTTCGAAGTGCTTCTGTTAAGCGGTAACATTGTCGATAGACTCTTTCAAAGCACCATGGATGACAGAAACGTTCATGATTACATGATAAATGAAATGAATTTGCCATTTTAATTACCACCTGCAACCTTCATTCCATGAATGTCACGTGACACGTTACTATATGTCAAATAGAGACACACTCTGATTTATCTTTCCTTTATGCCCATGGATATGAATTATAAAACAATTACACTTCAATATTATCATTACGTCATTACTTATTATACTTGTAATTATTTAGTAGTAACATAATCACTATATTGTTTTTTAACAAATATGAAATCAAATTCTACTATTACTACTTTGCTTAAGGCTATGAAGGTTAAATTAAGAAAATTTGAACCTTTAACCAAGGGAAATTCTTAAACATCAATTCTTCGTCTTCATCAAAATTTGTTTGCGGTTGTTGATAGCATGATACGGCAGGCCGTGATATGCTTTCCTGTGCTGACAATGGTATCGACGTTGTCATACTTATCTTTGATCCATTTTCCGCTGATATCACTGTTTCATTCGATTGTTCCACCCATCCTCCACCAACTGCTGGCACTGCAGCTACCGGTAAGGTTGAAATTTCATATTCAAATAATGACGATTTTTAGATATTCACTTTAACAAATGAATAAGAAATGATCTATGCTCCTCTCACACCTAAAATGCTTCTTTTTTGTTAATTAGACTTTAATTAGACATTCGAAAAATCATACCGAAAAAGTGAAAATAAGAACATGATAATAATTTATAAGTCTCTTAATAATTAAATCATAAATATGAACCAATGAAATGATTTCAATCTGATGGAAATAAAGCATTGAACCGAGTCAGGTTTTATTTCAGCTTTCCGGATATTCATTTATCACTTTCCTTGCTCATTTCCAAATTTTATTAGTAAGCTGACATACATTAATTGTAATTAATGATTTCAAATAAAATTTGTTCCAAAATAGTCCATATTTTCTCGAAACTTCAAGAATATTTGAGAACATAGTATTATGGGAATTATATTATTTCAATCGCAGTTTATTTGTTAAATTATCCGTATTTCAAATTGCTTTAAATGAAGAGTGGTGTTGTCTTATGGAGAATAGAAAGTTAGAATCTCGAATAAATTTCAATGTTCAGAAAGGGCAAAAGCAATGAACCTAACTCATTATAGCGACTGTTTGAAAATAAATATACGAAATTTTTTTTCATACGAAAGACTGAAAGACTAAAAAAATAAGGAGTTAAAAATCGAACTGTAGCTTTGCTTTTGATGTTCCAAATTAAAGAAATAAATTATGAGTTGTTATTGTTTTGCTATGAATTGAAAAAAGATAATTTAAGGACCAATTAAAAGTAAATAATCAATAAATCACTTACTTATTTCACCAATCCCATCTTTCTCATCATCAGTTTGCGTGTTTCTTGTAGATTTTAGATTTCTACAAAAGCAATAATACGTCAGTATCTAAAAACTTAAATAGCAAAATTGGTAATTTCTTCAAATAAAATCATGTGTATAACAAAAAATAAATTCATGAAATCTTTTATGTTCTAATTTTATATTTTGTTGATCTTTGAAAGTCAAAGATCATCCATATAATAATATGCATAAAACAATTTAAAATTGCAAACTCATTGCACTCGTAAATTATTAATCTGATGATGATTTTTTTTAATAAAAAACAAATCAAACTGTTTCACAGTACGTGATGCCAATCATTCATTTAACGATAAATAGTAATTTTTAAGTCCTTGATTTTATATTTCAATATGTCAATAATTCAGTGTTGTTAAGTAAACTGCACTTATTTCCAAAAATTAGAAAATAAGCAAAGATTGGTAATTTAGTAATGAAATTAAAATCATTGAAATCATTCCACCAAAAGATCGATAGTATTATAATGAAATAAAAGAATTATTTGAAGATTAAGTAATTATTAAGGCATTTAAATGAGAAGGATCATACTTTGCAGATCGATAGATTTTCTCATTTAATTCAAGCGGTTGCGATGACGTTGTGGATGGTGAACCATACTTAAACAATCGTTGGCGACCCTGTGCTAATCGTCGGGCTGAAAAAAAGAAAAAAAACAACATTGTAAAAATAATTAAAAATTCGAAAAGCCTACAAATATTTTTTTCCATCAAATATTTTCGTCAATATGTAATTTATATGCATTATAAAGAACTCAAATTTCGATTAATAAGAGAGTTATAAAATAAATGAGTAATGCTTTCATCCGACCAAAATTTTCTACTTTTGATACGTAATT